TGTAAAGTATCAAAACATATTATCCTTTATGAGTAGTTTTAAATTTAGATAGGAACAGTTCTAAGAGCCCAATGTTCAAGAAAATGAAAGTTGAACAAATTCTCATTGAAATCTTCACTGATTGAGTCAAAGGCTACTAATATTTGTGTGTTTGGGTGACACATCTGTCATTTTGTTATTAGACCATGAAACCATCTATTAAAAAAGCTAAGAAAATGTTAATTAGATCTTTATAGTATAACTTCAAACCATGTTTTCTCTTCTACTCTCATAGTGTGGTTTTCTGTGTACAAATAGTACCTGATTATTCAGTCCGACTTTAGTGTCCCGTCTTCCGTCTTTTATGAATTGTACATAATAATATGTATAGGAAGCTAGAATGTTAGTTAGCATTTTCTGCTAATTAAGAGAGGCAGAACTCCTCAGTTTACCTCTAGAATAAACACTAATGTGTACTTGAAGTCACATTCTTTTTTTTCTAAATATTTATTTATTCATTATGGATACAATATTCTGTGTGTATGTCTACAGGCCAGAAGACGGCACCAGACCTCATTACAGATGGTTGTAAGCCACCATATGGTTGCTGGGAATTGAACTCAGGACCTTTGGAAGAGCAGACAATGCTCTTAACCACTGAGCCATCTCTCCAGCCCTTGAAGTCACATTCTTATTGACTTGGCTCTCTTGGGAATTTAACAGTTTCCAAATCTTGATTTCTCCATTTAAAAGAGGGAGATAACTCCTACAAGGATATTCCTGGAACTAATGAGCTAATATGTAAAATTTAGCATTCTACCAGACAGTTTTATAATGATTATAACTTTATGACTATTACTGACAGTTTAGAACAGTCATGGCTTCCTAGGGAAAAAACTGGAGGTCTGTAGAATGGGGATTGGAATTGGTGACTGTTCCAAAGAAGGGCTTAGCAGCACGGCAGTAGAAGCGATTAGAATAAACTGGTGGATGCAGGGTTTATGAACTCTGTGATTGGTTATTCCTGTCTTGTCTTGTAGAATCACGTAAGTGCATTACTAGCTCTGGCATGGTGCTAAGCATATAGTCCTTGTCAAATACATTCTGAACAGATGCTGCTCAAAGTCTTTGAACCCCATATATATTCAGCCTCCTAAAAACTAAGCATGTTATTTAACCCCTGGATCGGTAAATAATCTCCAGATATCCAGTTTTGGGTTCTTCTGACCTGAGTCACTGTCGCTTTTTACCAGATTTTGTGAACAGATCTGCTTGTCTGTGCTGGTAGGATGGTGAAGCTGGGGACAGAAACATCAGTCTTTGTATTGATTGGGTTTGTGAGCGTTTGGTCCCACAAGTGCTCTTAACCAGGGAGCCATTTCCACAGACTTCTTGGAATTTACTGGTGGAAATAATTTACTGTTTGGAAGTCGTTTTAAAGGATGACTTTTTTTAAAAAAAATTTTTATTGATATTTATTGAGCTCTACATTTTTTCTGTGCTCCCCTCCATGTCTCTCCCCTCCCCCCTTTAGTCCTCCCCCAAGGTCCCCATGCTCCCAATTTACTCAAGAGATCGTGTCTTTTTCTACTTTCTACTTCCCATGTAGATTAGACCTATGTAAGTCTCTCTTAGTGTCCTCATTGTTGTCTAAGGTCTCTGGGATTGTGGTTTGTAGGCTGGCTTTCTTTGCTTGCCTTATGTTTAAAAACCACCTATGAGTGAGTACATGTCATAATTGTCTTTCTGTATCTGGGTTACCTCACTCAAAATAATGTTTTCTAGTTCCATCCATTTTCCTGCAAAATTATTTTTTCTGCTGTGTGGTACTCCATTGTATCCTTATCCGTTCTTCGATCAAGGGGCATTTAGGTTGTTTCCAGGTTCTGGCTATGGCAAACAGTGCTGCTATGAACATAGTTGAGCACATGTCCTTGTGGCACAATTGAGCATCCTTTGGATATATACCCAAAAGTGGTGTTACTGGGTCTTGAGGAAGGTTGTTTCCTAATTTTCTGAGAAATCGCCACACTGACATCCAAAGGGGCTGTACTAGCTTGCTTTCCCACTAGCAATGTAGGAGTGTTCCCTTTTCCCCATAACATCTCCAGCATAAGTTGTCATCAGTGTTTTTGATCTTGGCCATTCTGACAGGTGTAAGATGGAATCTCAGAGTTGTTTTGATTTGCATTTCTCTGATGACTAAGGATGTTGACATTTCCTTAAGTGTCTTTCAGCCATTTTAGATTCCTTTGTTGAGAGTTCTCTGTTTAGGTCTGTACTCCATTTTTTAATTGGATTATGTGATCTTTTGGTATCCAATTTCTTGAGTTTTTTGTATATTTTGGAGATCATACCTCTGTCTGATGTGGAGTTAGTGAAGATCTTTTCCCATTCTGTAGGCTGTCGTTTTGTCTTGTTGACTGTGTCCTTTGCTTTACAGAAGCTTTTCAGTTCAGGAGGTCCCACTTATTAATTGTTTCTCTCAGTGTCTGTGCTGCTGGCCTTCTATTTAGGAAGTGGTTCCCTGTGCCAGTGCGTTCAAGTGTACTTCCCACTTTCTCTTCTATAAGGTTCAGTGTGGCTGGCTTTATATTGAGGTCTTTGATCTATTTGGACTTGATTAAAGGACTTTTATAGTTGTTGAGTCTACATATTCTTTTTTTTTACTGTTTAATATTTTTATTTACATGATTATACAATTTCTATCATTTAGTATTTTGTATAAAACCAGTTTACCATATACAAGATTTTCAAATGTAACAAAAAATATCAAAAACTACATTATGTACCAAGTTTACAGGCTATGGTGAAGCTTTTTCTTAAAAATACCTTCAGGAGAATAAACATCCAACCAGTTCTCTCAGCTTTTAAAAAATGTGATTAGAAATATACAATTTAATAAAATAGACAGTGGTTGATCAAATACTGATTCATCAGTTACACTTTAAAACTTCACTTAAGGGCTGGAGAGATGGCTCAGAGGTTAAAAGCACTGGTTGTTCTTCCAGAGGTTCTGAGTTCAATTCCTAGCAACCACATGATGGCTCACAACCATCTGTTATGCGATCTGGTGCCCTCTTTTGGCGGGCAGGGATGCATGCAGACAGAACACTGTATACATAATTAAATAAATCTTTAAAAAAAAAGTACATTTTAAAACTTCATTTAATCATCTGTACATGAGTGTACAATAAAGTTTTCAAACAGTGGGTGTAAAACTGCAGTACTTTACATTCTATTATTATTATTATTATTATTATTATTATTATAATATACAATGTTCTGTCTGCATGTATGCTTGCCCACCAGAAGAGGGCACCAGGTCTCATACATGGTTGTGAGCCACCATGTGTTGCTGGGAATTAAACTCAAGACCTCTGGAAGGGCAGCCAGTGCTCTTAACCTCTGAGCCATCTCTCCAGCCCAGTACTTTACATTCTTACATTACCAGATGCTCTTGAACTCTTGTGCTCAAGTGATCTTTCTGCCTCAGCCTACCTGGGGCAACAAACATACAGAACAACAGCTTTCTTTCAATAAAGAAATTATAGCTCTGGATTTAGGAATCTAAAGTATATTCTGTCCTGCCACATATGTTGATCTGGTGATTTTATTGTGTGTATAATATCCAAATAGGTGGTTACATTTTATACTATACATTAATATCTTCATACCTTTACTTTTCATAAAAGTGAGTAGCGGAGTAGTTTAGCCCCATTAGCTGTAGAAGGAGTTTTTGTTTATAAAATAGCTAGCATAAGGATCATGAGAGGAAAAATGATCCAGACACTCTCCAGGTAACCTAGTGTTGATTTGTACACACAGCTGTGAGTGGGTGGTGTTGACTAAATAGTGTTAATGATGGAAACCTTGAAACACAGCTCATCTGTCTCCTGGTGAGAACAGTTTGCAGGCGAAAGGACAGAACTTGTAATATAGCTAGTTGCTCCCAATATTTTGTTACTAAATCCAATTAAACTCAGTACTGTAATAGAAAGTTTTGTTTTTTTCTGGAGAACTGTAGAGGGTGCTGTAACCTTAGGAATAGTGTGCACTGGCTTTAGCTAGTACAGGCATTCACAGGGAAGGAGTGTACAGTGTTCAGAGAGACGATAATGCATAATATGTTACACTGCTTATTTGGAGAATGTTTTCATCTTTAAGAATCTTTGGTATTGTTAAAATTACAAACTCTTTTCCTTCCTTCCCTCCTTTTTTTTTTTTTTTTAAAGATGTTGTCTCACTATGTCAGCATATGTTCTTGGCTGGCCTGGAGCTTTCTCTATAGCCCAGGCTGGCCTCAAACTTAGATCTCCCTTCCTCTGCCTCTCTTGAAGGTGTGACAGCACACCAGAACGACAGCCTGGGTAATGTGATCCAGGAAATTGTAGAACAATAAATGTTGTTTCCAATATCTTCCCCTTCAACCACGTAATGGGAATATGTATTTTGGATAAGTATGCTTTAGCAGAGAAACAGCTTTGGAAGACAGGCTATTGCACCAAAGTGAAATTTAAAAGTCTAGGCAGACTTCAGAAGTTGTTTTGGTAAAGTAGATATCTTGCTTTTTGGCTGATTGAATTTAGTATTCAGAGAATTTATAGTGGTCCATGAATTCCAGGTAACATTTGCAGATTTTTCGTAACTTTGATTCAGTTTCCTCAGTACTGAAGAGGTTTTGGCATTTGAAGTTAGTTAAATTAGTCCGAGTGGTAGATTTTGAAGCAAAGGATGAGGATATTACTTATCTTTTAAAGTAGTTCCTTTTCTAGATTTAGGCAGCTTTAAACAGTTTTGGAGACAAAGCTTGCTTCTTTGTTTCTTCCTGGAACTGTATTTTTATATATTTATTTTGAAGTTCTGTACTGTAGTTCCTTAAAAACTTAAAGCAAAAAAAAAATTTTTTTTCCCTTCTCCCCACTCCTCAAAGTGAAAGGTTTTTCTCCACAGTGGGCGAATGGATCAGTGTCGTACAGGCTTTCTCATTTGGTTGCTCTGTCTTTGTTTTTACTCTAAAGGCCCCACCTTCCATGGTCAGTAATGAACAACGCCAGCACGCAGAGCACATACTCCTATCCTTTAGGAAATCCAAATCACCATTTGCAGTTTGCAGGCATATTTTGGGTAAGTTTTCTCTTTAAAAATATTTTGGCATAATCAACCTTTTTTTTTTTTTTTTGTCTTAAATGTTGGTTGTTATAAATCCCTTTTAGTCCCTTTCACTAGTGGTTTTCTGTTAGGTTTGGGGGTAGTTATGTATGTTCTCTCTTAGTTGTTTTCCAGTTCTTTTTAAAAACTGGTTTAAACTCAGCTTCCTTATAGCCATATTAGTCACTTCTGGGAAAGTTATCGATATAATAAATAAAGCGGTGGTTTGTAAGTTTTGTCAGCTTACTTTATGAGTTCTGTCTGACACATAATATGGAAATGGTCTCTTTCAAACAACTCTAGGGATGGTAGGTCTCTTGTCAAAGATGGCACTTTGTAAGAGCTGTATCTGATATTGCCATTTGCCTCTTCTATATTTTTTGATAATAATAAAAAAGGAGATTTAATTCATTGTTTTTATTTATTTAGCTATTTATTTACTTGTTTGGGTTTTTCAAGGCAGGGTTTCTCTGTGTAGCTCTGGCTGTTCTGGAACTCACTCTGTAGACCAGACTGGCCTGGAACTCACAGAGATCCATTTGCCTCTGCCTCCCAAGTGCTGGGATTAAAGGCGTGTGTCACCATGGCCCAACATTGTTTTTATTTTATATTTTATGTTGGCCTTTTTGCTTAGTGGGAAGTATCTTTCATATTGCTCATACTTAAGCTTCTTAAAAGTTTTTGAGTCCATTTATTGCTACAAAATTGTTGACTTGATAGGATCTAAAACATCTGACTGTTTATTCTTGTGATTTTTGGTAGGGTTTGTTTGTTACCAGTACTCTGGTTTCCATACAGAAATAAACTATGATGATGGTCATCTCTTCTAAACTGTTTTACATATTTGGGCTTATGAAATGAGAGGTCTTAGGTCGTAGTGGAAGAGTTCTGTTGAATTATGAGTCTGGCTGCCAGTGGTGCGTGCTGCACATTGTCAACTTGAAGAGGTCAGCCTCTCTGGGCCTCTGTCATCTGTGCAATGAGAATAATGACACCATTGCCTTCATGGGCATGGCTTCTTAAGGTCTTGGGAGATGCCCATGTTGTCATATAAAATAAATATGTGTGAACAATAAAGTAAACACAGTCACATTACTTTATTTACTAGGGTTTTTGTTTTTTGAAGAAGACCATCTAAAATACATGGCTGTTTTGTCTGACAGAAGCTAGCAACAGTAGGAACGTAGCTGTTTCATTCAGATCTTACCTTTAGAGCAATAGTTATAACAGGTGTCTTTTCAATGCAGTGAGGCCATTTATGGACTTACCAGTGGTCAAGTTTTATACTTGAATGGATTTGTTTCTGTTACTAAGAAATGTGTTCTTTTACTTGTACGGTATATTTAATTAATGCTAAATAAAAAGAACTAAGACATCGGCCTAAAGAGTTTAAAGGGGTTAAGACCTCATCTTACCTTGAAATTATTCCAAATCAACAGGTGTGAGAGACCATTGTGTTAAACTGTTAACCTAAAGTAATTGGAATTTGAAGTTCACGTTAGATACTTCACCTGCCTCGTCTAGGGTTCCCCAGTGTGTCATCTGACTTTCTGTTGAATGCAGCTGTCGTTGGTGACTAAGTTATAAGCATTTTGTTAGCACTTATTTTCTTATAGGACTCTTGTTTCAGAGCACGTGTATTTATGACGTACGGTGGCTTTCATAAGGGCTCAGCGTGTCTGGACACACTGGAAAGAGCAGTATCATTATTTCTAGTTGTGCTTAATTCTAGTCGTGCTTTCAAAGTCAGCTTGGGTTTCACCGTCTATCATTAATGTATTGCAAAGCCCTTGATTACATAATGTTTGCATCTAAACTTCACCAAAAATCTTTTTTAACCCCTTACTCAGTTGCCACCAGCACAGAAGGGCAAATTCCTCTAAGAAGACTTCTCATACAAGTGGCAGTCAATCACAACTCAGAATTTTCACATTCTTACTTAGGGATTAGATGTCATTTTGTAGAATGTCTGGGAAATATATTCTGATAAAGGGGAGATTTTTCTCTTTGATGCTTCCCTTCTCTGTCCTCTTAAAACTCTTCCTTTACTGCTAGCTTCAGTTTTATGTGTTTCTCATTTTCCTCATTTCTTTCTCTTACCCTTTTGTTTCCCTTTTAGTTTTTGCTTTCTCTGCTCGTGTGTGTGTGTGTGTGTGTGTGTGCACGCGCGTGCCTCTGTGCGCTCCTCTGTGTGTATCTATGCCTCTGCCTCTGTGTGTATGCATGTGTGTACATACTGCATGCTTGGGTATTTCCCCACAAATGAACTTTTAGATTATTTCACCTAAGAAACCTTTGGCACTCAGGAACCTACTAGTTTTTTAGGGTTAAATATTTCTTTTAAGAACAAACAAGCCTGAGTTTAATTCTTGCTAAGGAAATAACCAAGAAATGTGAGGAACTGGCTTACTACTCCTGAAGTCACCTCTGTAGCACGTCTTTGCCTTCTCAGGGAGAACTGGATTCCATTCGCTTATCTTAGGCAGCCCGAAGACAGTGACACAAACCAGAATATCCAGTAGGGCTAGGAAATGTGACTTCTCTGTATTTGGAAAATTGTCTTTGGTAACACTGCCTATTTTATCTTTCCACTGAGACTCCACTACTCTTTGGTAGGTGTAGGTGTCACTATGCTCGGAGAGCTGGCATGTCAGTTACAGCCGTGTGATTTCAGACTGCAGCGGCTGATAGTCTGTAGTAGACTTCCTTTTGTTTTGAGAAAACTCTTTGATTAGTTTCCCTTTATTACTCAGTTCACTTTCAGTTTTTCTCCAAAGGGTGCTGTCATGTTTGAGATGAAATATAATTTATTATAAGTTGGGTGGTGGTGGCGCACGCCTTTAATCCCAGCAGTTGGGAGACAGAGGCAGGCAGATCTCTGTGAGTTTGAGTTCCAGGACAGCCAAGGCTACACAGAGAAACCGTGTCTTGAATGCTCACCCCCAAATGATTCCTAGTCCATAACTGTGGAAGTTACTGTGGTAGCAAAGAAGACGCTCTAGGTAGCAGCCCCAAGCAGGCGCTTGCAGCGCTGTTGTAGCCAGCAGCAGCTCTTCCTCCAGGGAGACAGACATTCTAGCTTGAGTTGTCAGCTCAGCAGGAAGACCTTGCAGTATCAGTCATCTTCATGGAACAGTGAGACCGAGGCTTGCGTGTATGAAGAAGCTCTGCTAGTGAGTACTGGCTAGCGTGCAGGGCGCTCTAGCTCCTCTTACACGTTTATGCTATGTGTAAATATACTCTTTGGGTAGCTAATAATAGTGTTTATCAGAAACTGCAATACTCTTTGAAAAAGTCCTACTTTTCAATTTAGAACTTTACTTTCTCTTCCAGTATTTCTCCATTCTTTAGAGACAGTTTATTAATAAATTAGACCCTCATTTCCTGCCATGTAGAGGTAGATGTTGAAGAAAAGTTAACAAGGGTCTCTTGAAAACTTTCCAATGTCATTCTTGTGTAGGACAGAAAAAAAGACTAGGGTAGAGGCATATGTAGTTTAAAATAAGGGTGTTTCAGGGCTCGTGACTGACAAAAGTGCCTACTTGGTCTTGCCTTTGGTGGCATGTTGCTTAGAGAGTCATGTGACCTCACATTTCCTCTCCTTTGGGACATCAGTTCTGTATCTGTAATAGACAGCAGTTGAAGGCGATGATCTTTGCTGTTCCTAACATTCTGTGAAGCTTTCGCATTTTACCTTCTTCAAATCTGTAGTTAAGGATTTTATTGTAGATGGACATGAAGACAAACCATCATCCTCTCAGAGAAATCTATAGTGACATTCTTTGACCTACCTTCACCAGACACAGTCATATTTCTTCTTAAGGGAGATAGATGTAACCTGTTTCTGGCTAAAATTGTTTGACTCTTAGAATAAAATCTACCACTCCACCCTCATTCTTGGAAAGTTAAGCTTTTTTTTTAGTAATGAGATCGCATTTTTCAGAAACTATTCATTTTTTAAAAATTAAATCATTTATTGTACTTTAAAGTTTCTAAATTTTTGTGACTTCTAATCATCATCTCAATCAGTTTATGTAACGGTAGTACAGACTAATCAAAATGTAGAAACAAAAGGCCCAGATTGGTTCTTTCTACTTTTGCTGTATTCAGAAGTCCTGTCTACAGTGACATACTCTCTCAGTCAGGGTGCACCGTTCCTCCTGGATTTTCATAGTTAATGTGTTAGGAACACTAGTAACATTTTTAATGACCCGAGTTTGAGTTAGAAAGAAAACAGTGCATGTCTGTACTTCTGTCTTGAGTTCTAGAAGGCACCATTCTAGGCCTAGAGTTTATTTCTTGTGGCTTTCAGATACTCATACCCAGTGATCTTGGTACATAATCTGAAGTCTATTCAGACTTAAGAGTTTCACATGGTTATTTTGTAGACCTTCAGAGAATTTCTACTTTTTCTTGACTTCATTTTGACTGTTTCTCCCTTTTAATAATGCTGTTTGAAAACTGTAGCAGTATACATTAAGAGAAAAAATAGACAATTAGTATAAAATATTTCTAAGGTGTGTTAATTTTCTATTTTTTTCTCTGGTTCAGGTTTTAGCTCAGTTCTTCCGAGTTTGCCAGGTAGCTGGGTCTTTCTAAGTGTAGCCTCGGGATTACTCAGTTTGATCAGTACTGCAATCAGAAAAGTAAGGAGAACTTCTCACCTTGTGTAAATGTGGCTCATTGTACTTGACCATTTGAGACAAAGACCTTCCACGTGGCTGTTTATTTCTGAACTTGCTATTGAGGTGGGCCATCCTGCTGAAGGCTTACTTAAAAGCTGCAGTATTTTGGCAGCATGACTCATCATAAATAGTAATGTTCAAAGACCAGTTTAATATTTTTCAAATAAAACATTCCAGTTTTGCACAGGGTGAGAATCTCTTAGTACACTTTCTGATTGCTTCATATTTTTATTTTTACCTTTTAAAGCTGTGTTATTTTTTAGTTCTTCATGCTTTGGAAGTAACAGTTGAAGAGAGGTGAGGAAAGTTTGTGAAAATTGTGATCGGTGATTAGCTGCCACCTGCCTGAGGTGTCTTCTGAGAGGAACTAACCTCTTTGTGGTGCTAGAGCAAGGTCACTGGATTAAAAACAGAACAGGTAACCATCTTATTCCTTGTCTGAAAAGTTCTGTCTTAAAATTAATAAATGCAAAATACACAAGATCATATGAATTACTGTTTAAAGAGAAATTTTAATTTTCTTCCCAGAAACGAGTAAAGTGGACTATGTCCTTTTTCAAGCTGCCACAGCCATAATGGAAGCAGTTGTCCGAGAATGGGTTCTCTTGGAAAAAGGCAGTATTGAGTCGCTGAGAACATTCCTCCTAACCTATGTCTTGCAAAGGCCTCAGTAAGTACTTGGGGCGGCACTGCTAAAATACCCTTGTTCAGCCTCTGATCTGTCCTTTTAGAGATCCCTTCTTCTTAATGATGATGTTTATGGGCAAGCTCTATCCTAGGGCTTGTAGTTTGAAATTTATATATGGGGCTGGAGAGATGGCTCAGTGGTTACGAGCTTTGCCTGCTCTTCCAAAGGTCCTGAGTTCAATTCCCAGCAACCTTACATGTTTTCACAACCATCTGTAATGAGATTTGGTGCCCTCTTCTGGCTTGCAGGGATACATGCAGGCAGAACACTGAATACATAATAAATAAATAAATCTTTGGGGAAAAAAAAGAAAATTCATACATATGATTGTAGTTTGCTTTCATACTTGATGAAATCATAACTTTCCTTAAGTTTCTGATACTAAAAAAATAGCTTTATTGTTGAATTTTGAAGAATTTGATTATAAATATAACTTTACTTTTGACTCTGTCAGAACTTACCTTGACTTGTTCTTAGGTGTGTGGTAGGATGTTTTATTTCTTTTAATATGTTTACGAAGCTTAGCATGGGCTAAGTAATATAAGATGTAGCTGCGTGCCGGGTGCCGGGTGGTGGTGGCGCACGCCTTTAATCCCAGCACGGGAGGCAGAGGCAGGCAGATCTCTGTGAGTTCGAGGCCAGCCTGATCTACAAGAGCTAGTTCCAGGACAAGAACCAAAAAGCTACGGAGAAACCCTGTCTCGAAAATTAAAAAAATTAAAAAAAAAAAAAAAGTAGCCGCGTATCCCCAAGAGGAAGAGGAAGAAATTAAGCCATCAACAAGCCAAATGGTACATGTGTGTGCATAGAAAATATTTTAGAAGAAAAAGCAATAATTCTTTGTTTACTTTGAAAAAGATCAGATTTTAGGAGAGGTAAAGTGAATTTTCGTTAATATTTAAACATTTGTACAAGCCTGTGCATTTGTTCTTGTACGGAATAGACACATTTTTGTTATATTTTAATGATAATGATGGTTGTTTTAATCTTTACCCTGGCAAAATAATTTGAAATAAAATTTGATAGTGTATTATTATGGTTAAAAAGAAGTTGAGAAAAATCTTTGCGTTTATATTTATATATTAAAGGAACTAAACATAAAGTCTATGTTTGTAGAAGAGTTTAAAGAATTAGGGGCTGAGTATGTATGTAGCTCAGGTTTTCTGTTTTGTTTTAAACTAGGAGGGGCACATCACATCTCTGATTTCGAAGGCAAAGGCAGAAGGGTCACTGCAAGCTCAGAGCTAGACTGGCCTACAGTATAAGAGTATTACTAAAAACTGAAAGAAAAATAGTTGTATGCCACTAGTAGCTTTAGTATTTAGACCCCTGTGTCTGACGAGCAGTCTTTGTGACACCCTGCTCCCAGGTCTAGGTATTGTCATAAAGCCTCTTTATTTCTCTGGGTTTTTGTTCTGTTTTTACTTTCATCGAACAGTGATTTGATGGCACTTTTCATGTGGTTAAGTCAACTGTTGTCACAGGGTGTCTTTCCTAAGTAGTCGGGGTCTCGGTAGAACTTTTGACCTCCTTGGCATCCTTTTCCACTTCATTCCATGAAACCCAGAACCCTGAGAGCTGGGGTAGATGTAATTTGGGAGAGATATTCCTTGATGTTTATATATGTGCTTTCTTCTGCTATCCAGATTAATTCCATTCTCAAATCATTTTGATTAGTTTAGAGACTATTTTAGAGTTGATTACGAAAGGTTCTGTGTTGAAAAAGTTTACTTGATTCCCCCCAACTGTGTGTGTGTTAGTGTAGTCTATCAGGAGGTGGAACCCAAGATCTTGTGTATGATAGGTAAGCACTGCCTCCTCCCTACACTATTTTGAGGACTTCTTAAAACTTTTTTTTGGCAAAGATGACACAGCAGCACAGTGAACACAAATCCCTTTCCTGGTAGAAGCTCAGTTAACTTGTTTTCTGAGACAGGGTTTCTCTTGTAGCCCCTGCTGTCCTGGAACTCACTCTGTAGACCAGGCTGGCCTGGAACTCACAGGCCTTGCCTCTGCCTCTTGAGCTGGGATTAAAGGTGTGTGCCACCACTGCCTGGCAACTCAGTTAACATCTTGTCAAATTTGAGCAAACTGCCATGCACACTACAATGTTTTCATCTTAAATACTTGAGTGTGGCTGGGCGGTGGTGGCACACGCCTTTAATCCCAGCACTCGGGAGGCAGAGGCAGGCGAATCTCTGTCGAGACCAGCCTGGTCTACAGAGCTAGTTCCAGGACAGGCTCTAAAGCCACAGCGAAACCCTGTCTCGAAAAACCAAAAAAAAAAAAAAAAAAAAAA